AAAATATATACCCCTTCATAACATGCAACATAAAGATTTTTTTTGAAAATAAAAATACTTTTCAGAGATCATTAATACTTTTCAGAGATCATATATTTCAACCTTGTTATAAAAATGAGACAGACAAAATGAATCATTCAGAAGACCTAGAATCAACTCAATCCAACATTTATCAAGAACCTACTGGGAGCCACCGGGCACTGTTCGTGGTGCTGGAATATTGGTTGTGTGCAGGGAACACTAGAGGGCGCACGAGAGTTTCAGCTTTCAGGAAAATCTACACGGGGCTACTAAGGAGTGGGGACCTTGCAAAACCACACAGAAGCATGTGAAAACCAAGTATCTGATGAACAGAGCAGAAGAGTGCAGAATAGGAAGCAGAATGACCCTTCACTGAAGGGATCTTTTGCCTTAAAGCTGAGAGGCAATCCTAGTGTCATGAGAGATGTACTGACCCGGTGTTCCTATAAAGATGTGCAAGTTAGGTGTCTGTTGCACCCTAACACACATGACTGAGGGTTCACCAGCTTGGCAACCCTATGAGGTAGGCGAGACAGGTATTACCACTACAAATGAGATGGCTAAAGCTCAGAATGAAGTTGCCTTCCTGAAGTCAAACTGCTTTAAGTTGTAAGGCTGAGTCTAGAACCCTAGCATTCAGGCCTAAGTCTGGGGTTTACTTCAATATTTGAGTCACATGTCCATCACCCACAAACAAACAGGCTTTTCACTGGGGAATGCTTCCTAGCTCCACTTAACTTTTGTGTACTCTTATAATACAGAAAATAAGACATCTTGCAGAAATGCAACTGATAGGTAGGAGCCACAGAGATGTGGGAACCATATAGACCTTAAGAATTAGGCTTTTGGGACCCTAGTCTCCAAATTCTAAAACCCAAATGAATGTAAGCTGTATCATCAACTTAATATTTCAAAACAAGGAGAAAAGACTACATGGAATATACAGATGAACTATGTAAACCAATTGGAGAGATGGCAAAATATGACTAAATTCGCTCTTAGAAGTGAGAAGATGGGTGGCGATCAAGTGTAAAAGATAAAGTATAATTTAAAATTGGAAGTGATCTCAGAGATTAATGTTTAGTTATTTTACAGATGAAGAAACTAAGGCTTGGCCCTGTCAGTGTGTTACACAAATAAGGTGGAGCAGACTGGAACACAGACAGGTACTGATTCTTACTCCAGCGGACCTTCATCCAGCCCCAGAATTATACGTACAACTGTAGTTCTAATTATAATCAACCTTAGAAGATGGTGCAGTGTTTGACTCTGTCTCACACAGATACCAGCCAGCTTCAAATCTGGCTGGCAGACGTGGGAGCCAGAGGCAGCAAGTGACCAAAGTGGTCCAGTGGTCCTAGGAACCCTTTAATCTGATGGAAGGAAAATCATGAAGCAAGGCATAATTTACAGTATAAATGACTACGGAAATCAGTGACTTTTTTTTTTTCCCTCTTGTGACAATATTTTAGAATTAATGCAAATGGTTCTGGTTCCATCACCAACTATGTAAAGATAATATATCCACTCTAACTTACTGCCTATGAGCAATATGGGGATCAAAAGGAAAGTGTTTTTTTTTGTTGTTTTTTTTTTAGCTAGACATAAATGCTGATTTACAACAATAAGGTGATGAGTCTGTCATGGACAGATGGATTCTCTCTATTCCACACCTTTAAAATAGCAAAATCCTGTAATGCATGTAAAATAAGGTGTGCATGACTAAAATTTGGGGATGTGTCTGTTGAATAAAATAAGATATAGCTGTAAGTGAAAACTTACTTAGACTTTCTGTAATCTGACCAGGACAAACTCCAATCACATTAATAGAAAAACACAGGGTTAGATATTGGTCAGGCATGATGTTTCCTCTCAACCAGCACTTCTAATCTTCTAGGAAACACCAAATTACAGGGAAGAAAAGGGATTATTGTAAGAACTAAAGTAAAAACAGATTTGTAGAAGGTTTTTTTTTTGGGGGGGGCGGAATGTAGAGTTGGTAGAAAGAATTTAAAGGAAGTTGTGAAACCTTCCTAAGACCCAGGGTCCCCTGATTTGCTCGCTAGGACCCTTCCCCATTCAGCTTGTTAAATGAAACATTTAAAACCACAGGATTCAATTCAAAGATTTCAGAGTTGACAGTCTGTCCAAGAAAACAATTACTTTTCAAATCACTGTGTTCTAATGGTTAAAACTCCCTAATACTTGAAATTTAAAGGGCATTGGCTAGTTTTATCCTGTAATAAATTTAAGTTTGTGCTTTTTATTGCAATTAAAACCATTTCCTACACCAAGACACATCAGTAAAATACATTTTTTTCCCAAAATAAAAAGTAACTAAAAATCAGGCTAAAAAATTAAGTTACATCTTACACATAAAACTTCTATTGCGGGCTTCCCTGGTGGCGCAGTGGTTGAGAGTCCACCTGCCGATGCAGGGGACACGGGTTCATGCCCCGGTCTGGGAAGATCCCACATGCCGCGGAGCGGCTGGGCCCGTGAGCCATGGCCACTGAGCCTGCACATCCGGAGCCTGTGCTCCGCAGCAGGAGAGGCCACAACAGTGAGAGGCCTGCGTACCGCAAAAAAAAAAAAACTTATATTGCATAGAGCTCTATCTGAGATACAGAT